ACACACACACACACACACACACACACACACACACACACACACACACACACACACTATTTAAAGATCTCACACTCGAAGTATGTATTGTGAATGACTCTCAGCTACTACCACATAAAATTTTAGCTCAATTTCAGTAAAGTTCACAGAGTTAAAGTCATTTTTGTGTCTTCTAAGCAGAGGCGATTGTTCTAAGACTGCAAGGGAAGCTCAGCTTCTCCTAAAATGTCAAAAAAACAAAACAAAACAAAACAAAACAAGAGATCAAATATATACTGTTGTGTGTTCATGTCAATGACTAAATATGCGCTGCAACGCTTTCAACTTTTGTTCAGAATCAGCTTCTTATCACCGGTAATGACGCGGCTTTCCTCTACTCATTCCTGCAGCTTCACAGTGCTTTAGACAGTGTGGAAGCTGAGCMTCCACTGAGTTCAATAGTGAAGCAAAGACTGCAGCGAAACAAGACGAGTCATTGGATAAATGCTGGGKTTTGTCCCGCCCATCGGAAGCTCAGCATCTCTGGGGGTCTATGGGGCAGTGGGGCTGGCCTCGGCTGGCCCGGACGCTCAGCTTCTGCATAGGGCTGCTCGAAATTAGGAAAACCTGTGATATGCGATAACAGTGCTTAATATTGCGATGACAATATGACTTGCGATAAATGAAAAAATTCGTATGTATATGTAGTGTTGACATCTTTCTGCTCTGGGTTCAAATCCCAAAAAACAACATAAAAAATAATAATTTCCATTCCATCCTGATTTTTTAAAAATTGATCAAATACATGAAGGGCTCTAATTGATTGGTGAAATATTTCAAGCTTCAGTCTGAATGACAAAACGCATAAATGCAAATTTTTGATTTAACCATCTATTGCAGTTTATGCAGTTGATCAATCAGTGATCTTTTGATGTAAACATCCGTGAGAGCATTTTTTAATTGTATAAACCGACACATTTTATGATGTAGGATGAAATTGAGCTTCCCCTCCTTGAAAGACCAGCATCCGCCACTGCTTCTAAGGCCGTCCTAAATAGAATGATTCCAGAAAATAACAAGTTGTTGAGGAATGTTCAGTGATCAACTTCAAGGAGTTTCAATTACACCAATCAAGTTGTTCATGGGATACTGTATTTAGCTAACAGACTAACTCCAAAAGTTGATAGCAAAGGTTTTAAATAAAAATCTTACATCATTGTTTAGTGCTTGTACTATATGCTGGGGACCAGGCTCAGCTGCCAACACACCAAATTTTAGCTCATTACATTTGACATTTTTGTGTTTTTGATGATAAATTAGCTCTGTTGGTGTCTTGAGTTTGGTTGACTCCAAAAGTTATTCAGTTGTAGAAGTGCATTTAGTGATTCCTTGCTGAGAGTTGTTCTAAAACTCATGCGTATTTTACTAACACACAAGCAGGTAACAGCAAACATTATCACCTTTTGGCAATCAGTAAGTAATAATTCAGGAAAAGACTCCAAACTTACCGCAGCAAGCTGTGAAGTGATTCAGAGCAGATGAAAAGAAAAACACAAGTCAACATAAATTAACTAGAAAGATTAAAGTTTAACACAACACAGCCTGAGCAATCTGCTTTGGTTTTAAATGATACGTTTAGCTTAAAGTCGCTGAGCTGAAAAAGGCAACATGGTGGCGTACACTGTACGTATGACTTCATTCCTCTCAGTAAAAGGGTTTAGGTGTGGATGAAAAGTGAGTTTTTAACTTACAGCAGAGCTTCATGATGATATCCAGAATTTCACATTCCTGTGGAGAGAGGGAGTTCAGACTATTATTCAAACACAAAACACGAGCAGGTTCTGAAGGATTTTAAAAAGTTCTAAAAAGAAAATTATCTTAGAGATTTAGAAATGTTGACAGATTTTAGGGTTCAGGAAATTGAATTTGAGGCTTGGACTGAACATACACTATCACTTTCACATTTAAAAGTAGCACAGGCTCAAGAGGGAAATTAGGCATGGGGTCATTTGACAACTGGTCTTACGACAGAAATGAAGGCAAAATGCACCAAAATGTTTTTATACTCACATCAGCTCCTGGAGGTCCAGGCGGTCCAACAGMACCCTGAAGGGAGACAGAGATAGAGGTTCTTTATGATAAAGTTGTCATGTTTGTTTTTCGTCACAAAAAACGTGTTTGGTTTGACTTCAAGACAACAGAGCCGTACGAGGAGCTTTCTGTTTGAAGTGGAAATAAAAAAAGAGGGTTCTCTTTAGAGAATCATTATCCCTGCAACTGAAAAACCAGATTCCCACATTAAGTGAACCCACATCCACACCCACCCCTACATGTGTGCTCTGCTATCTTCCTGCAACAACATCTGTATCTTCCTAAAGTTCACGGCAACAGCATTTTGTTTTTTCACTTAGTTGCATGAAAATCATCTGTTTCGTTTTAACGCACATTAAAACACAGTTTAAGAGCATTCTTTTCTGTAACAAACACACTAAACTAGCTATTCGGACACACACATGCACACACAGACCGAGTGTGGGAAAGACTAAGTAAAAAAGAGAGACAGCTGTTAATTTTAGAAGAAAGAAACTGTCTCGAGAACACATGATGCAAACTCTTTTTAGAAAAATATGCCAAAAAGGCTCCAGCCAAATGGGAAGCAAAAACAGGGAGGGAGAAAAGACTTAAAAAGAGAGGAAAAAAAGTAAAATAATAGAGTTTGATTAATGGCTTGTCTAAGAAAAGGTGCCTTTCACTCACATCATTACAGTTCGATCAGATTTATTTTTTTTCACGTATCACAGGCCTTATTTGTTATCTGATTAAAAACAAATGTAATTCACATTTTCTTTCCAAATCCAGATCAAAATCACAGGCATTGCTTTTCAAAATCTCGGAAATTTGCCTCCATACAGTTCTTTTTTTTATCCTCCCTATGCCTTCCTACAATTCTAAGTGGAATTAACTGAACATTGCTCAGGTGCTGCTCTGAAATCTGTAGAAATCTTTACCCCAGTTAGAAAGCACATGGAAAACAGACACGTCTGTAGAATCTCAGTCATTCTCATGGTAAACCCAAGTGCATGATGGGAAAGTAGCCAAAAACAAGAGTGATGATCTCTTTAACCACTTGGCTGAAACTGCTCTGACATCCATGTTGGTTTTAAACTTACTAATGAAAATGACTATTTTTTTTTGGATTGAAACCATAATGACACTACACAAGTCTATTGGTTAACACTCAGCATTTACTCAATGTGGCCACACCCTATCAAATCTTGCATAATTTTAATCCAAATAGATTTTAAACTCATTAACTTGATAGATATTAATCTTGGCTGAGAGTAGTGGAGAAATTCYCTCAAAAAAATCCCAAAATAGTTTTATGGATTGGAGAGTTACCAAGGTAATTTCTGCTATTAAGTTAAACATCCACAAGGACTGAGACACTTAAGAGTCAGTCTCAAGGGTCCTTTAAGGGAACTCCAATTTTTGACATGCTTCATTTGTCAGTTCTATACATCCCCACTTAAGAAAAAGACATAATTAAGAGTGATACAGGAAAAGATTAAAACCAATATCTAGATGGCTATTTCTGATTTTTGATTAAATATTTATTCTACAATTGTTGTTTTCAACTCAATATAACAAACGTGCACCACAATATTCCTTAAGCATGAACCTCATTGGGCTGTGAGCTAGTTCAAGACACAATAATGTGGGATAGAATGTGAATTTCTACTTGAATTCTTCCAGATTTGGTACTTCCAACTCTGACATCTGAGCCAAAATTTGCCATGAGTCTACACATATAACACGCAAATGTACAAATTATTTAGCTCCAAATTAGTCACACAATGTTTTAATTATGTCTCAACGTGTTCCAGTTTTATTCTCTCTGCATCTGAAACTTGTGTGCACTACCAAGGTGGAATTTTAGATTCACTTTTCTGCCTCCAATGAGTCAAAATTTAGTTTGATCGGGCCAGTTCTGGCCCACAAAATGCACTGACACTTGGCCCAGATWTGACAAAGAATGACTGCCCGTTGGTGGCCAAGATGTGGTTTGCCAGAGGTGGTCCATACATTGGCCAGCACCACTTGAACCATCTTAATAACAGTTCCATAATTGCCAAATCGGTCCAGGCTGACTGCTGGCAGGGCAGGTGGTTTGCCCTGCCAGCAGTCAGCCTGCAGTGTCAGCTTGAATCCAGGTCTGGGCCACACCTGTCTGCCATGTGGGAGGTTTCTCACATTTTCTGACTAACACAACACAACTGAGACAGGTTGGAGATGCCCTCAATGACTCACTGTATTTTATTTGTTTTGCAAATTTTCTGAACATGTTCAAATTACCAGTGAAATGAAAGTGAGACACTGTTTTATCAAAACATACTATGGCCATACTCTGCTGTGGCAGAGTGGAGAGTCATCCTGTATCTGGTGGGTTGCCAGTTCGATCCTCTTTCCATATGTCTCAGTCGTTGTGTCCTTGGGCAAGACATTTCACCCACCTTGTCTGCTGGTGATGGAGGGTCCAATGGCACAGCATGGCAGCTTCTGTCWGTCTGCACCAGGGCAGCTGTGGCTACAGTGTAGCTTACCACCATCAATGTGTGGATGTGTGTGTCAATGAATGATGCATGAAAATTGTAAACTGCCTTTGAGTGTCTGAAAAAGCTGAAAATAGGACTGATGCATTATTA